GTAAGCAGTCTGAGTCTCAAATGATGACTTATTTTTCAGGAAGGTGTAAAATTACAAAACAATGTGAATCCATCTTCAGGATGAACGATTTTTTCCGCTCTGAGGGCATCCATCGATTAATCGCGCGGACACGAACTCGTCCTCGCGAAAATGAGCCTGTGAGTCAGCGGTATAGTTAAAAACGCGTGACCGGATATAAAAGTGTAAGCTAGAATTGGAAAAACCGGAAATAAACCTTGCTAAGTTGATGAACTAATATCTCGAAAATTAGTTCAGTGACCTACTCTGATTTTTTGTATACAAATTATTTACATCATTACGCATTCCTGAAGAAAATTTAAAAAACAATTTATCTAGTGGAAATTTTTTTACATTTTAAAACAGCATTTTCCTAAATAATTCAGGTTCTACTGGGTAGTTTTGTTACATATCACGTATACAGGTTGAGAATGTGATGACGTTTAAAAAATTGGAAAAAAAAAAACTAGGTCACCGACTTGGTTTTTGAGATATCTTTCAAAAACTGAGATTTAGAGGGTCTTTTAGCACTACTGTACTGTTGCCATGGCAACAGATGTCTGACGAGCCCCCTTAAAGATAGCTCTAACATAGTGTTATGCATATGTCGAGTTATTATCCTGATGATAAGTTTGACATTCCTGATATCTTTTACTAATTGGCGCTTGCAGTTAATTGTTGAAAACCCTTTCGAGCCTCCTTAATTGGGGTCAAGATATGTTGTTTATAAATAAAAGTTTTGATATTTCACAAACATACATTTATGTAAGTCCTTTCACTTCTGGTCACGAATAAAACTGGCAGCGACAGAACTGACTTCGGTTATGGAAACGATTCCGATGTCGTAAAACGTTGGTCATTTATTGATTAAAGGTGTTACAAATTAACAGTTCTTTACCAACATGTCATTATGAAAAATTACAGCCAAATTTGCGTGTTTAGTTCGTTTTATAAACAATATTCCAAAAAATTAACCATCAACCGTCAAATGACCTAAAGTTAACCGTCAACCGTCAAAAGGGCTCATTTTTAACCGTTAACCGTCATTGTAATCCCCCTTCCTCACTTAACCCCTCAGGTAGGTGAGGTAACCTGCCCGTAGCCCGCATGTCCATATAACTTCTTATTCTATCTCGTCATCACTGCCCCAGGGATCCCATGAGCAAGCTAGACGCATGCGCATAACCAGTGCTTTTCGCGCGCAAATCAATTTAGCACGGTGACTACTTATGCGAAGAAAATCTTCCATTTTTACCTTCAAGTTTCTTAATATCGGGTCTGCAATAAGATCACTGGGTAGAAAACACCTAGAATGACTACACCAGGTTT